GTGGGAACTGGGCAAGGGGAGCTATGGAGGGAAAAAAGAGGAACAACTGTAATAACCTGAACAATAAATATTTAATAAATTTTTTAAGATATTAAAAAATATAAAATGCTATAACATAATCATTTATATGAATTACATATATGAAATATAATGTAAATAATACTAAAAGCTATAGTTTTTTTTCTAAGCACTGTTTTAGTTACATCTCAGAAAGTTTGATATGTTGTAATTTTCATAGAATTAAAAGTATTTTCTCAGAAAATAAAAAAGATGTGGTGTATACTAGTATACATGGTGGAATATTATTCAGTCATGAAAAAGATGGACATCCTGTCATTTGCAACAACATGAGTGGACCTTGAGCACATTATTCTAAGTGAGATAAGTCAGAGAAAGACAATTAGGGTATGATATCACTTATATGTGCAATCGAAAAGAAGTGAAACTTAAAAAAAAAAAAACAGAAAGTAAAATGGTGGTTATCTGGGAATGAAGGGGATAAAAATTGATGTTGTTTGAGCGTACAAACTTTCAGTGAGTCATAGTGATCTAATGCACAGTATAATAAATATAGACAAGATATTGTACTATAATTATTAATGTGGGCATATTACAATATAAATGTATCAAAGTAACACATTGTACACCTTAAATTTACACAATGTTACATGTCAAATATGGTCAGTTAAAAATAAGTTAATTTTTAAAACTTTGCAAAGATTTGTGTTTAGGCATGACTCTAAGCTCTAGAATCTTAAAACTGGATGGTCCGCATTCATGACTGCTGGGTGCACCCCTGCTCAGCTTTCAGTCTCATGTATTGATTTAATTAGACTTCCCTCAGGGTTCTAGGAGTGCCTCAATAGTCTCTTATATACTCCCTACAGGCATAATTTTGCATACAATATTACCTAATATTATCAATAACATTGAGCAGCTAGTATGCATGCCTTATGTACAGTAATATATTAAATGCCTTAGATGTATTTTCTCATTTAATCCTTAAAACAATCCTATACAATAGATATTATGGTTATTTTTTTTAATCCTCACCTAAGGATATGTTTTTCACTGATTGTAGAGAGAGGAAGTGAGAGGGAGAGATAGAAATATCGATGTGAGAGAGAAACATTGATCAGTTGCCTCCCTTATGCAAACCCACAACCTGAATATGTGCACTGACGAGGAATCAAACCCTCAACCCTTCAGTACAATGGGACAATGCTCCAACCAACTGAGCCACACTGTCCAGGGCTGTAATATATGATTAATGTTTTCATCACACAGATAAGGAAACTGGAGCTTAAAGAGGCCAAGTAACTGTCTTGATCATCACTCTATTTCCAGTGCCTCGTTCATATAGCGACCTCCCCCATAAAAAACAAATGAATAATTCACTTAGAGAGAAAATTCTGGAATATTGGGAAGCACCAGGAATCCTTCTCCCCACCTAGACAGCAATTGTACTGGCAGAATCTGTCTGATGTAACCATTTAGAGGTCTGGAGTCTATTCAAAGTTAATTTCAGCCTATTTCAGCTTTTAACATTGTAGCAGCTACCAATCCCCACACTCTCCAATCCCACGCCAGCAAGCAGTGCATGCATTCCAAGAGCTGTTTGCAGAAGCCAAAGTGGGCAATAAGACCTCATCCCCCGTCCCCCACCAAAAAAAGAGGCCAAGTAACTTTTCTCAGAGTCATATAGTCAGTAACTGACCAAGCCAAGACTCTGGCCAAAGTCTATCCAACTAGAGAAGGTATGTGCTTAACCATGATGCCAATATTGCCTTATTACAATAGTCATATAATGTTCAAGCCAGCCTGAATTATCAAAAAGAGATTTAAAATATGCCAAGTGCCTTTTATTTAAAAAAATGAAAATTATGATATATGTTTTAGAAATACTTCTATTCAAAGTGGATAAAAGTATTTTAAGCATTAGTGCTTAAAGAAGTAAACATTAGTTATCAGACAAGTTCACTTTTATGAAACAACTCATTTTCCAACAATGCCCATGAGGTGTTTCTGTATTATCTAGTATTCTTAGAACTGCAAAGCAGCTTAATATACCTTCTGGCAGCTTCAGAGTGCAGAAATCATTGGCAACCTCACCATGTTTTTATTTGCCAAATGAAAGTGAAAACACTATTACCTGTTCCATAGTAGCCGTCATTCTATAAGGGATATAGAGTGATCTCAGGCCATACCTACTACCTCAAAAGCCATACACACAGGTGCTCATGCACACACATGTGAACATATGGACATGTGTGTGCATACACACACATAGATCTAAAATTGGGCAATGGAGAAACCTGGAATAAAATATTCTGAGACAAGCATAGCCTGATGCTATGGGTAACTTTAGGAAAAATTCTGAAGCAAGCAAAGTTTATGTAGGGCAAAAGCTACTTGTATTGCTATTAATAATACTAGCTAACATTTGGAGAATACTATGAGAATACTATGTGTGAGAAACCCTTCAATGAACATGAATTTATTGATATCTCACACCAATCCTATGAGATAGGCACTGCTATTATTCCCACTTTACAGCTGAGGAGAATGAGGCATAAAGGTATTGTTAGGCCCTAGCTGGTTTGGCTCAGTGGATAGAGCGTCTGCCTGCGAACTGAAGGGTCCCGGGTTCGATTTCAGTCAAGGGCACGTACCTTGGTTGCAGACTCCCGGCCCTGGTAAGGGGTGCATGCAGGAGGCGAGGCAACCAATAGATGTATTTCTCTCACGTCAGTGTTTCTGTCTCTCCTCCTCCCTTCCATTCTAAAAATCAATGTCGGGGGCGGGGCGGGTAACAAAGGCCAGGCATTGTTAGGTAACATGTTAAAGTTCACAAAGCTACTGGTAAGAGAGAACTGAAACAGTCTAGTGTCAGAGTCCATGTTCAAACTACCACTAATACTTCCCCAGAAATACTACTGCTAATGAATGTTCATACTCTTATGTCCCTGATCCTGTACTAAGCACTCTACATACATTATGTCATGCTAGAGGCCCAGTGCATGGATTCGTGCACCAGTGGGGTCCCTCAGGCTGGCCTGTGGGGATTGGGCCAAAACCAGCTCTCCAACATTGCCCAAGGGGTCCTGGGTTGTGAGAGGGTACAGGCCAGGATGAGGGACCCCACTGGTGCAGTGGGCTTCTAGTATGCATATAAGATCTTTGGTTAATCTCTTCCCGCTCTGAGATTCATCAGTCTGTTCCATGTTTCCATGCCTGTGTTTTCTGCTCCTGCATTGAGCGTCTGCCCCCTGGTGGTCAGTGCACATCATAGCTACTGGTCAGTTAGTCAGCTGGTTGGCGGGTTGCTTAGGCTTTTATATATATAGACATGTTTTGAGGTTGGAGGTTTTATTTCTAAATTGTTATGCAGCATCTCATTTGATCTTTAAAACAATCCCATGAAGTACCTATTATTTGTGTCCATTTTACAGATGAAAATACTGAGGCCCAGCCCTGACTGGTTTGGCTCAGTAGATGGAGCATCAGCCTGCAGACTGAAGGGTCCCAGGCTCGATTCCGGTCAAGGGCACATGCCTGGGTTGCTGGCTTGATCCCCAGTGGGGAACATGCAGGAGGCAGCCAATGATTCTCTCTCATCATTGATGTTTCTATCTTTCCCTCTCCCTTTCTCTCTGAAATCAATAAAGATATATTTAAAAATAAAAATTAGAAAACTGAGGCCCAGAGAAGTGAAGTAATTTGGCACACAGGCAAAAGTATCAACTGAGTTTCAGTAAACCCCCTATAAGTACAGTAAGGATCCATGTAATATAAAATAATGCAATGTAAGTTAATATACAATTTCTACCTCAGGGTCAGGTTCTCTCAGCTTTTCAAAGCCTCTGTCCTAAAGTGTTAATAGAAAAAAGTAACAATAGACTTTCCTTTCTTCCCAACTCAGGGGGAATACAGTGACCCTCTGAAGCAGCCAGTTCCCCTTAGTAGGGAAGCACACCATACAAGCTTTGTCACCAGAAGCCGGCTTTCAGGGCTTGGTATCTAAAAGAGTTTTGTTTTCTTTTGAAAATGGTTTCAGGAAAAGCCAAACTAGCAAGCCACCACTGGAGCCACCAATCTCAACCATGGTTTCTGTAAAATGCTTCCTCTATTTAAGAGTGAAAATAAACCAAGAACTTTTACTACAACACTGTCTTCACTAGCAGAGTGAAAAAACAATGACAACAAGAATGGCAATCTGGGTGGGCTTACCTCCACTTGAAGGGTTACACATCCTTTCAGGAAGTCATTGATGTTGTTGATGCAGTCAGCTTCTGTTTGGGGCTCCAGACAGTACTAGAGAAACATGGTCAAGTGTCACTTGGAGACTGTCATCCCAGATCAAACATACCATATTCACCATTCACTAATAACTGCACAGGCAGGCTTTTTTAAGGCAGGGAGCTACATTGCTGTCAATCCAGGAAGAGAAATAACCACCAAAGGAAGTGATGCAAAAATCTAAACCGTTGGTCTTTATTTCAAATGTCACCAAACCTTTAGTCTCAAGCCATCTCTACTTATAAACTTTTTCTCATGCTTTTTGCCTGAGTATGGTGATAGCAAATCAGAGAAACCCAGATAGGTTTTTGAGTTGGGTTTTGCTTTCAACTTACTACCTCGCTCCCTCCTCTTCATGATGATTTATTCAAGAATATTTTACCCTTTGTTTTTCTCTGCATCTGATCACAAAAATCTACACTTTACCACTATTTTCTCACTGCTTTTTAAGTTTAAGAAATTATAAGTAAGTCAACTTTTTTCAATAAAAATACAAACTAGTTCAAGAAGGCAAAAGAACTATAC